GTCCGACAAAAATAATTATGAATAACAATGTAATTTTAAAACATGTGTAGTAAATGTCGGACAAATAAAATCAGTATTAAAGTCAGTCGGACAACAATAGTCCTTTTGATCAATTTCTGCCGAAATTCAGAATCTTCACTCCTGAGATCGCACAAAAAACACGACTGAATATCCATTCTTTCTCACACACGTGGTTTTGAATGACCGTTTACAGAATAATTTCCGTAAATACTCGGAGAACTATCAAAAAAACAGATCAGGGAATATGACACAGGGCCCCACAGGTATTTGTCAAAGTAGGTAAATAATAAACTGACTAATATGCACGTTGCGTTAAGGCAAACTAATTTCAACAACTACTCCATGTAGCTTAAGACTCGTAACAAATGTCCTTCCACATTAATCTAAGAATTTTAAATGTATCAATTATTCTTCCTGATAAGAATTTTGCAAATATGTCTACACATAAAGATTATGAATCTAAGTTCTTTAATGATCATTCCCAGTGGGACATGAGCGGAGAAATGTCAAAATTGATATCGTCATGGATTTTGGGTTCACCGAAAGCTCACTTTACAAATAGTAACAACTTTGGGTGGTGAATAATAAACTGACTAATATGCACGTTGCGTTAAGGCAAACTAATTTAAATTTTTTCATTGATTGTCTCAAATTTCTTGTCCGACAAATGTGATATCGTTAATGTAATGTAAAAAACAGTCGATTAGCATTGAAACTACACGTACATGTATCAACTTCCTTAGGGACGTCAGAACGACAACTTCACGAAGAGCTAGCGCAGCAATGTCCCATCGCCCAGGGTGGAGACATGAAAATTATTGTCCGACTTGGTGTTATGAAGCCGCTCAGGAAGTTGGGCGTGTACATGAGTTACAAAATTTTAAGGTCGATGTACTGGGGACTATTAGCACGCTAACGAGTGTAATGGTTCTCTATTCATATGTTTATGTTTTTCTTCCCATTGAGAATAGTTATAGTCAACCATCCAAGGACCTTTTTTTTCAGTTATACATGTAAACCCCATACTTTGTGAGTGGCTTGCTTACATCAAGTCCTACAACTTTTCCTCTACGACTTTTCTCGGAGATGGCACGTATGCGCGCAGGCGACTCGCAAACATGTCGATCTGACGTAGCTATGTTTCCTGATACATGTAGGTAAATCTAATTTTACGAATACTGTTTGATTTTTATGTCTAAATCACGGAAATCAACTTGGCCGACAAAAATAATGGCAAATTGGGGGAGTCCGATACCCCCAAAATGTCGATCTGAGGTGGTTATATTTCTTGATACATGAAAATCTAATTTCACGAATAATGTTTGATTTTTATTTCTAAATCACGGAAATCAACTTGGCCGACAAAAATAATGGCAAATTGGGGGAGTCCGATACCCCTAAAATGTTTGCGAGTCGCCTGCGCGCATACGTGCCATTTCCGAGAAAAGTCGTAGAGGAAAAGTTGTAGGACTTGATGTAAGCAAGCCACTCACAAAGTATGGGGTTTACATGTATAACTGAAAAAAAAGGTCCTTGGATGGTTGACTATTATTTTCCTTTAATGCTAATTTCAGATTTTGCATTCCATCTTGAAGATAACTTGGTTTTCAAATCTGCGTTGCTCTGAATGAAAATGGTCTTCCCACAAGAATATCGAGAAATGAAATATTAAGCATAATGAATTAAAATCAAGCAATTACTTAAAGCAGTTGCTAGTTAGCAAAAGCAATTGCTCTATTAGCAAATGCTAGAAGTAAAAGTAATTACTAGATCATAATATGAATAAAATCTTCAAGCAAATGCTGCCTTATCCAACATCTCTCTAGCAATTGCTAACTCAGTCATAATCCAAGGCGATATGGAGTAGCCATCGTCTGCTAATAATAAACATTCGTCTGCGCCATTTTTAAGAATGTTGTATACGTTGGAATTTTTGAAAATTCTGTTATCGTGCACAGATTCTAGCCATTGGCAATCTACGCTTGTAAACATTTCTCGTGCATTACAAGTTGCCTGCCTGCACGTTGATGCTGGCATATCTGTAAGCGAATCTATAACTCTCTATAAGCCTATAGACACTGAAAAACGCATCGATTGCCAAATACCGGATCGGAACTATTTACTTAGGTATCTCCCTGACCACAACGGATTAGCTTCCACAACAGCTTCAGCACTTATAGGAAATTTAATAAAAATATTGGCCTTCTCCAAAAGTGTATTCAGTACGGAAGTAGTGTAAGTCTTACGCACAGTAGTTCGGTGAACACCGAGTTCTTCAGCTACAGAATTTTGATAGCCTGGATCTAAAAATTGCCAGAGAAAGACTTTCATCTTAGTTAAAGGTGATAGTGCTGTAATTCCTTTTGAATAGAAGCAATTACTGCACTTTCAAGCAATTGCTGGAAGAAGAAGCAATTCCTTCAATTTTTATTCATTAGATTTCATGGAATTACTTCTATTCAGTTTTATAAGAAAAAGCAATTACTAAAGCCTGTTTTTTTTTAAAGATAAAAGTCAAACTGACAATATGTTGGCAATACAATGTAAAGTTGTCAATGCTGTCAAATTTTTTATGTAGAAAAGGCTTGTGTTGCCAACATAGTTACTAAATTTTTGACTTGGGGAATTATCTTTAAAAAAAAAAAAACAGACTTTACGTTTTTATTCATTAGGGCCATTGTTCTTTTTTTCTATCTCCGCATACCGCATGATGAATTGTATTCTAGATGCAATAAAATTGAGATGGGAATTTTAATTTATCTAGTTCTTATATTCTCCATGGTCCCAAACAACAAAGGTGTCGCTTATACAGGGTGTCCGACGAGGAACCAAATCGATCTATATATGAAAATTTTTGAAAATTTGACAGTATAGGTACTATTGTCAATGGTGACACTTCCGGTTATACCGGAAGTAAACGTCAACTTGCTTATTTTAAATGGGACACCCTGTGCCTGGTTTTTGCGAATGACAAAGAAACGACACCATATAACTGACCAAAATGTCGTTGTGTTGTGATTGATATTCTGAATAAAATTAGTGGCATCCTTCACGTAGGTATGAGTTGAATTCAATATGAGGCTGAAGAATTGTGGCGCATCCAGGGAATCCATTGCACTGCTTACAGTGGATTGTCTTTATTGTGGATTTTAGGGTGTCCATTCATAAATTCTGTTTGGCAAAGCTACACCTCTTAAGAGTTTTCTCTTATTTTCTGGATCCATTTGGAAGTGCTTGAATTAACTTGTGTATTTTTTGTAAAGTAAAAACGGTAGGATCATGCTCAAATTTTTCATATGTCGCTTGTCGCGGAATCCAGAAGGACATTAATATTTACTCATATTCCTTAGTCCCTTGTAGATATTGAGTGCCTTTATCTGCAGAAAGTATAAGAATTGTCTTGACTGCATTCAAACTTTTAATTGCTTTTCTTTCTGCAGAGTCAAGTCTTTACTTGGGAAGTTTTGCTTGTCGTATTATCTTTGTCTATCAATACGTTTCACGGGGTATTGTGCATAACAGAGAAATCGTATCCAAAGGCATAACGTAGCTTATAAACTTTGACGTGGTAGACGTAAGACGTCTTTTGAGGAAGTGCCTTATTTTCTTCAAAAATTTCCAATAATGCTGACAATTTTTTTCCGAATTGATTAGAGATTGGAAGCACAGGAATTTTTGAATCCATTAGACAACATGACTTACAATTTAGCTTAGCAGGAACTCCAAAAGGACTGGCGGCTTTCGTCGACTTTTATCAAACCAATATGATTTTGGGTTTGGAAATTATTAAGAAACATTTAAAAACTAAAAGAACAATAAAGACCCAATTCCAAGCCAAAAGTCCTAAAATGAAAATAAACTAATTTGTAAAGTTAATTACTTATTTCAAAAATTTAAGAAAGTAATATTTTAGTCTGTAAACTAAATGTAGAACCAAAACAAATTGGTACCTACTTCCGGCACGCCCAGCATCAGTGACTCAATGATGCTGGACGGTGGTGGCACGTGCGTAATTCCGTGTCAAGTAGCAGCATTCCGCAGTGTCTCACGTCAACTAGGTCACCACCTGACCCCGACAATGGTCTTTCGCGGCTGCTGAGACAATTATTTCTTGTTTTGGTCCATCATCGAGCCGGATACTCATAATTTCATCAGAATATTGCTCGATGATGAAAAGTAGTTTATTAGCTGGGTATGGACAGGAGAGATTTTGGTAGCCTGAAGCTTAGTAAACTCACTAGGAACCCCTGTTTATCTTGTGAAAAGATCTGAGAGAAAATATTTTTCATCCATCTGTCATAGGTACCTACCTAGCATTTCAATGTATTAATGGTTTAATTATACTTATTAATTATATACTCCTAAACAAAACCAAAACACAACAAATAAGTAGGTGTATGTTCTGAAACAAGAACTATTTGCTATTCTCGCGCGAACTTTGTGTTTTTGAAAACTCCTTTGCACCCTTTTTATGCATTAGTTGACCATCTTCAGTGATTCAAAAAAAGATGAAGTTTCAAAGCAAAAATACCTGATATAACAATGGAGCTATGTTTTCTTTCACAAGCACAACCAATAGTGGTAGCAATTCTGCTTTTGAATCCATGAAATAATCGTTTCTAATCTCAGTAAAATACGCTTTAGTGCTTCAAAAGCTTCAGAAATATCATCAAGTTTTGTTTTAGCAAATATTCATGGGAGAAAAAATCGAATATTGAAACCTAAGATTGATTGCTTCCTAAATAAAATAATTACGCTTACCAACTAGGGACCAGGCAAACCATGTTACAATAAACAGTATTATCTAGTTATCTTTTAATTTGTTGTTAATCCTTTATTATTTTTGCATTACAAAACGCTTTGAATGTCCTAACATTGTTGCGACATTAAACAGCAATCAATTAGGGTCAGTTTTTTCTCCGGATGACTAAACAAACAAGCTTTCCTTCAATTAAAACATAAATTTTTATTTATTCCAGAATAAATCATGATCAAATCCATAACCCTGCTCCTCATGGGGGCTACAATGATATTAGCCCAAAGAAGATTGGCTTTACCAGATCCGAGAAGTTGTGCTAATAGTAAGTAACCCTATCTAGCTTTCACTTGAATATTTAATAATTAATTTTCTATTTTCACACCTAATTACGCAGCTCCACACCATTAGACTTTTTCAATTCACTTTTGTGTTAAATGAGACAAGGAATTTTTTAATTTAATTATTATTCTAATTTTCAGGAGTGCGGCACGCCACTTATAGAGATGCCAGAGGAGTAACGCACTCATACTTCTTCAGTTGGGAACACGCACCAACTAGAAATTTAGAAGTTGATTGGTTGGACTCTAGAAATATTTGCAGAAGACATTGTATGGACGCCGTATCTTTGGAAACTCCGCAGGAGAATGAATTTGTTAAACAAAGAATAATTAGAGGAAACGTTAGGTAAATCTAATATATCAATGGAAGTTGATGAATTAATAGTTATTAAGAATTACCTAAACATTATCTTTGCCTAAACGTAATTATAACAATTTGTCGACAATAATTACTTGGGAATATTTTTGAAGCTTAGGGACGGGAATAATGCTAATGCTACTTCGAGAGAACTTTTACACCATAGCGGGTGATGTTGTCTAGGTCTAGTGATTATTACCATATAATTTTGTTCATGGGATGGGGATTGCTTTTCTTGTTCAATAATGTGTTTTATGATCGGGATATTGAGTGATAAATATCAAGATATTGGACCTTTTTGCTTCATTCGTTAATGACGAGCCTCACAATATAATCTATTGAGTTTTCTAATTATCAGGGTTGGTTGAATCTTGTTTCCTTCAATATGGATTTGCCAACGCTGAATCAGTTATCTGTTTCTGGTGATTTTGTAGGCACCTATGTATATGTAAGGAAGTTTTGTGGGGTATAATTAGCGAAGATAGACATTCTCGTGTTGGGTTTTGAGAGCATATTATTAGCTGTGAAAATGTTATAAATAATATTTGATGTTATAGAAGGATTAATCCTTGGAGGATGAGGGATTTCTGCTTCCATAGTTCTGAGAATGGAGAATTTCTCATTTATTATGACTTGGAATTTGCTAGATTTTGTGAAGTTTATCATCTTTGGCACTTTTCTTCAAAAGTATGCAGCACCTCTCCAATGTCGTTATCAAAATCATCAGCTGAAGCAATCTGAGAAAAATATTTTTTAATTAAATTGGCACTGTTGATTCCAGTTGACACAGCAAATAAACTGCTGGACAATTGCTTTCGAGCAAGGAAACTTTTTCGCCTAACTTTCAAGCTCAATATTTTTGGAACCAAACTAAATATCGACCTCCGGTTTTCACGGGCTGACAGATTGACTTTTTCTGAAAAAAATTGCTATATAGAAACCAGAGGTCGATATTTGGGTTCCAAAAATATCGAGCTTGAAAGTTAGGCGAAATTTTCTTTTTGCTCGAAAGCAGTTGTCCATCAGTTTAGTTATGAAACAATATCAAAGATAAAAACGGCGTTCCAGACACTGTTGAAAGCTTTCTCAACTGCCAGAAACACTGCCCCGTGGCCAAAGCGCACTCAAGGCTTCTTCGAAAAACCTGGCTTGCTCTGTTGAGGGGATACTTTTTTCACCGATCTGTAGATTTCTCCCTAGTTGATAACAATGATAACATCCTGAGATACTTTGCTTGGCTCTCTTGAGTGCCCTCTTAGTACCCTGGAGTTGCTGATTCCATAGATATTATCGGTTTTGTAGTGCGAACTTAGTCCACTTGTATTCTTTTATCAGATCTCCTCTTTGACTTCTTTCTCTGAGTGTTGTAAGCCTTAGTTTCTCTAGTCTTTCCAGGTATGGTTTAAATTGTAGTGCCCCAGGTATTTTTGTGACTTTTCTCTGTAACTGCTCGAGCATCTATCTCTATGTCTTTGTTTGATGTAATACGGATTCCAGACTGAGTGTGCAAATTCTAACTTCGGCCTGATATACGTTTTATATATTATGTAGTTTCAGTATCATTTCTTCTGACTGGTTGTGTATTGCCTTTTTTATTAGAAATGATACTATTTGCTTTCTTTGTGATATTCGTTATATGCACGTCAGATTTTAAATCTTATGTTAGTATTACTCCAAGGTCTCTCTGCGCTGTTACTGGGTTTATCTGCTGTTGGTTAGGCTTTTATATGTGTTTTGGCTTGTTAGCTCCTATGTGTAAGACACTTCATTTGTTGGGGTTCAAAGGGAGCTGCTATTCCTTAGACCAGCTATCTATCTTTTCCAAGCTCTTTGTAATGATGAGGTGGTCAGTCAAGGGTTTGCCAAAAACTTTTCCGTCATCTGCAAAGAACAGTGCTTCGCTAGAAATTGCTTCAACTAGATCACTGGTTAATATTGTGAACAGCAGAGGTCCCAGTACTGAGCCCTGAACAACACCACTCTCCACTGCGTGACTTTCTGAGAGCTTTCCATTAACTCTAACCAGGAACTGTCTTCCAACTAAGACGTTCCTAATCAATCTCAAGAGATCTCCTCTGACTCCCCGATGTTCAAGTTTGTGCAATAGCTTTTCATGAGAAACTTTGTCGAAGGCCTTTTCGTATTCTAGGTATACAATATCGACTGGTTGGTTGTTGTCTAATGCTCTTGTCCATTGATATACTCCTGTCAAGAGATTTGTAGTGACTGATCTCTTTGGTAGAAATCCGTGTTGTTTGGCAGTCATAAAGTCTGTTAGTTCCTTTGTGATGACTTTTTCCATTATTTTGCAAATACAGCTGGTTAGACTAACAGGTCGGTAATTGATGGGATCATGCCTATCTCCTTTCTTGTATATTGGAGTTACTACTGATTTTTCCAGTCTTCAGGAAGTTTCCCATCCCGCATTGATCTAGTTATTATGTGCTCCAACTTGTGCCACACCCAAAGTAGGTACCTGTGCATTTCTTCAAAAAGATTGATGGAATTTCGTCCAACCCTGGGCATGCCAACTGTAGGTGGAGAGTTATAAGTTTCCTTTGTGTAAATTTGGCTGTATCGCTCTGCGAACTTTTCTGCTATTTCTTGAGGCTCCATTATCAGTGTGTTTGTACTTTTATCCCTTAGTGTTATTGTGGTGCTTTTAAAGTTCAGTGTACGGAATATATAGTTGTAAAATTTCTTGTTTTCGGCCTCCAGGAGGTTATGCTCATAAGTTTTCCTAGCTTCTTTTTTCTTTTAGTGTTTCTTTAAGTTTATTGTTCTGTGCTCTGTATGTGTTGTAGTCTGCCTCTGACTTGGATTTTTGATATTTGTCCCCCCACAGTCGCCTTTTCAAGTCTATTTTTTTGAAAGATTTGGATGTTAATTATTCATGGTTTTCCAGGCCAGGATTTTGTCTCACTGTTTTGAATGGAATTCGTGAGTCAATAATTTGCCGCGTTGCGTTGTAAAAAACTTCATATGATGTGTCAAGTGTCAGCTCTGCAATATCTCGGTTTATTGAATCATAGTCGGCTCGGTGTAGGTAGTTTCTTCCCTCAATCTCATTTGTATCACTGCCTTAATTACTTTGTGGTCGCTTTGCCCTGTGGGTGCCTCTGGTGTCAATGAAAAAACTAGCTTCTTTTCATTCACAAGCAGCAAATCCATTGATTCTATGTGGTTTCTTGCTCTTCTTGGAGAAGTGAAGAGTTGTTTCAAATTTGTTTACTTGTAGCCACCTAAAAAGTCTCTTACTTCTCAGCCTTCCCTTGTAAGAGTCAGATTTTTCCAATCTTTTTCTGGGTAATTGAAATCACCAAATATTATAGGATTTTTTGTTTCTTGGCTCACTCTCTTTATCATTTCTATCAGGTTCGTATTCGACGCCTGTGTTTACATCCCAAGAGTAGTTCATCTCTGCCTATTCTTACATCTACCCATGGTTGCCTCAATTCCCGCTGCGTTGTTCCGCATGTACGATTCATCCAGAGTTGCGTAAATTTCCCTTTTTCCTTCACGTATATGATGACTCCGCCTCCCATCTGGTTTTGTCTAAAACACTGAAAGTTATTGTAGCCCGTTAGATTCAGCAATTGATTGTTTGCTTCGCTAGCCCACGTTTCCGTAACAAGGCGTTCTGTTGTGATATTTTGGATTTAAGAAATTGCCTGCGGATATTTCGGATTTAAGAAATTGCCTGCTTACTTCAAACTCAAACCCAGCTAGAACAAGGCAAGCACCAACGTTCGTTCAGTTACAGATGAAGAGTTAGTGTTTCGTAAGTGCCTTAATCCCCAAATTAGCAACTCTTAAATTTTCAGAGATATTCCGGATTTAAGAAATTGCCTGCTTACTTCAAACCCAGCAAGAACAAGGAAAGCACCAACGTTCAGTTACAGATAAATGATTAATATTTCGTGAGTGCTTCAATGTGCTTCAATCCCCAAATTAGCAACCCTTGAATTTCAGAGATATTCCGGTTTTTAGGAATCGTCTGCTCATTTGTTCATACATAGCAGGAACATTGGAAGCACCAACGTTCAGTTGTAGATAGATGGTTAGTCCTGATCTAGCATTTTTGACATTTGACACATTTGTGATAAGATATTCGTGATAAGATATTCCGGTTATTTAAAAACGCCTACTTAGGTCACACATAGCACGAACATTGGAAGCACCAACGTTCAGTTATAGATAGATGGTTAGTCCTGATCTTGACATTTGACATATTTATGATGAGATGCATATAACAGCTACTTAAAAGAGAAACTAAGGCCCGGTTGGCCGGTTTATTCACCTTCTAATCTATCAGGTATATTATCTGACGGATAAAAACGCAATCTATATTCCTATTGGTCGGCCAGTTACTCGTCAGCCAATAGGATAATTGATTCGCAAATTTATGTTGCAGATAGTTACAGAGTTTATCGGAAGATGAGTGAACCGGCCTAAGCATTAGGAACCACTAAGTACCTACTAATAGTACTTATCATGTAAAAAATTAATTCAGACCAGAATGTATGCTGTTCATATTCTTCTCGGTCCTGATAGGGTCAAATCAACAGGCGATTGCAAAAAGTCGAAATAGGGCCGGCTCATTCACCTTCTGATGAACTGTTAGGTATGCAATCTGACGGATAAAAACGCATTTGTAACCCCATTGGTTCGGCAAATTTATCCGCCTCCCAATAGAATTATAGAACGGTAAATTTATCTTGCAGATAGCTACCAGCAAGTTTATCTGAAGAAGAATAAGCCGGACATAAGTATAAGAGTTGTTGAAAGCGGAGGTGGTGGGGATACTAACAATGTATCTACAAATGAACGTTGGTGCTTCTCTTGTTCCTGCTGGGTTTGAAGTAAGCAGGCAACTCGTCATCGGATGGATTCGCACATACATACATATTCTGTGGAACGGCATCAGTGGGTTGTTTTGATTGATATATTCCTCCGAGTGTTGAAGGAACACATGAAGAAATGGCAGCGACATAGGTTGCTTTCGTTCTCTCGACTTCCTCTTTACCCTGCACAAATTATAAATGTGTCGTCGACCAATCCACCACTTCTTCTCGGAGCATTCTCATGTATAAATATTGGTGACCACGACTACTTGAGAGAGTGATAAGCCCATTGGAATGTCGTCGTTTAAGTATAGAAACTGCGAAGACGCGGCAATCCAAATGGATACACCATTCAATAATTGAGGAAGCCTAGTGAGATCGGATCAAGTGTGGTCTTGTAGAATGAAGAAGTGAGTTCTTGAATACCAGAGCGATTCTGTTTAAAGTGTAGAGAAGCTATAAGAGATATGAAAATTATATTTTCCAACCTTTTAAGAAGTAGCGGAGGTTTACTTCAATAAGGAGTCAAAATACTAATACTGGTAGGTAGGGTCCGACTGGTCGCCTCTAAATTTCTTTAGAATTTGGTAGAAATTGCGTCTTTCGAACGAGAATGCCAATGATAACTAGATGACTATCTTTCCGTAGAAAATCCCCAATCTTCTGATCGTTTGAAGGACAGCATGTCAATAGCTGTAGCATAATCCTTGTCTGCTGACGGAATTTTCATGGTGCAATATTTCTTAGGTACTGAAGTTTCTTGTCTATGATAGTGGATAAATTGAGGTCTATTTCTCTCGCTGTTTCTCCATGGAGCTTTGGACATAACACCTAAACTTCATCCCAAGTTTCATCCAGTTTGAGATATTCAATTGAATTATAACCAAGTCAGTCATAAGTCTCGTTTTCGGAGAGACGGCTGCTTCTTCTGATAGAGCATGAGGCGATATTACCTGCTGCATATTTACTTTATCTCTGCTTTGATAAAATAGAGTGAACATTTTGAGAACTCAGAGTAAAGTTCCTTATTCGGGTCCCGATCCTGTAGAGAGTTAAGTTTTGGTCTCTGTTACTAGAAAGAAATTATTATGTATTATGTGACATACCTATGTACTAGTGTACCTGTTCAACAATTTTCAACGGTCCTACAACTGGTTTTGATTGAAACCAAAACAAAGCTATCGCTTGAAATAAATCTTCCAAAATTGATTCATACCTAATTGAGATTATTTTCTTTAGATACATCTGGACTTCAGGCCGTAAATGTAACTTTGCCGGCTGCGACCGACCCGATTTACAACCACCAAATATCAACGGTTGGTTCTGGTCAGGATCTGGAGCTAAAATCGGACCAACAACTCAAAGAAATTCTGGAGACTGGAGTGCCACAGGAGGTTACGGTCAACCACAACCCGATAACCGGGAAGCGGCTCAGGGCAATGACGAATCATGCTTGGCCATTTTAAACAATTTCTACAATGACGGCACCAAGTGGCACGATGTCGCCTGTCACCATCTAAAACCGTTTGTCTGCGAAGACAGCGAGGAATTGTTGAACTTTGTTGCTTCCAGAAATCCCGGAATCCGTTTGTAAATTTGAAATTTGAAATCCAAAGTTAACCTAGGAACTTCTACAAACGTACCTTTTTTAATAAATGTAGGACATTTTTTTATCTAGCAATAATTTTTTTTTTGATGAAATTTATTGAATTATTATTCTAAGCTGCTATTTCTAATTTTTGGGCCCAAAGTCCTTATGTTAGGATATGAAGATGGGGAATGCCGGGTTTAGGACTCAATAACCCTAGAGGAACTTGGAGTTTCATTGGTCCCAAACCGGCTTTTCCCCACCTACACTTGATACCTACTATTTCTTTTCTACTTTGTGCATGTGAATATTGCTTGTCTTTCTTTCTTTTTTTAGACTTTTTAGCGACAGTGTAGTAACTTTATATTTATGAATTGTATTAATAAATTGTATTTATATTTCTTATATCTGTCTAGTTATTTCATTCGATTTTCTTCTACAAGTATATTTTTTTTATCTAGAAATTACATATTTTTTCAACCTTTGACAAGGAATAAAAATTAAAACTACTAATTTTTGGTTGTAAATAAATTATCACATTTTAATACTTCATTCAAAAAAAATATTACATACATTTCTTCCAATAAATTCTCACCAAGCAGGATAATACGAAATTCCTCTAATCAAAGTTCCATCGTATTCGTGAAACCAAACACCCAAATCTCTTTTTTTATCCTCCAAATAGTCACTCATATACAATTTCAAGACACTAGCTTTTCTGTCAAGATTCAAATTTCTATAGGCCAATTTAATATCATAAACTTTGTCTGGATCGAGTCTAACGGGAAACCTCAGTGGAACGTAAACTTGAAAATCGTATTCGGAATTATAGTTCCAAAAAGTTGGTGTTGCGATGATGGAACCAGAGATTCTATCACAAAATTTAACACGGATATGTCCATCGTATGTTGCTTTTGGATAAATCCTGCTGCTTTCTGAGCTAAGCAACAATCCTGAAATGATAATTTTTTTTGTTACCGTTATCGTTGATACAAATTCGTCCCGCCATCTCAAGTCAATTCTTTTAGCTATTTTAAATTTAAATCTGGTTTTGCAAATATCTGGCCAAGATAACTTGAAATTTTCTACTGAAGTTTCTTCTTCCCAATTAATTACTTGGTCACTTAAATATTTGACAGTTTGTTGGACTAGTTCTCCAACACAATTACAAATGATTATTGGTCGAAGGCAATATTCACAGTTCGATATTAAGCTACATCTATTTATATATCTTAAAATGTCATGTTCTTTTAAAATGTCCACTATAGATTCTGGCTCAGTACTTATGTTTTCATAATGACACTCATCAATTGCCCAATCAATTATTTTACAAAGTAGGTCTAGATTTGTAATAAGGAGCTTTGGATATCTTAGAATAGCCTTAAGAGTTGTCGCTTTCATGTGATAATCGGCAACTAAAACACTGTTCACTGCTTCAATAATGTCAGAAAAGCACTTTTCTCTCAAATATTTTAAGTTATAAAGCTCAGAGTATTCGTAGCTTAGCACCAGAGTGTCTATAGTTAGATGTTCCAAAACATATAGAGTGCATAAATGTAGTAAGTCATAAAGTAAATATTTTTTGGCTATATAAACTATAGACCAAGCGTTCTCGATGGAATTGAACTGGATGGTTTCAAGATAAATATAGTCGAGCATTTGCTTAAAGTCGTCTGGCTGGATGTCTTCTATTAGAATTTTTTTCGAAGCCAAATTTCCAAAAAACATTTTTTCGAAAACTGGACTGATATTTGCCAAAATATCTTTGTGAGCTTCGAACGTTTTCTTGTTAATTAGGAAGATACAATCGGTTTTCCGTTCTTTCAGAGACGTCAGATGGGTTTGGGTGAATGCGGTCCACATTGTTGGGAAAACCTGAAAACAAAAATAATTAAAATATTTCTTAACTTTCTCTTCATTTTCAAAAATATTTGAAATTCCTTTTCTCCGAAAACGTGAAATTGAAGCGTTGAACGTCCGGATTCATATAAGTTTACGCTTCAATTATTGAATTGTTTAGAAGGTCCCGGATAGCTCTAATGCAATTCGGAAAAACTTAATAGTAATTAGTAGGAGAGCCGGCAATATTAACGGGTATGTGATCGTTGCAATGGATAATTTCCACATAAAAGAATAGCTCATAGTGACCTTTAAACTAAATAGATGGGTTGCCTTGATTCTCATGATCTACACTTTAAAAATATTTTTGTTTATGCGGTGTTGCCGCTTCTACTCTAAACCAGTGGCAACAACGCTATTTTAAATGGAATACCCTGTATGTGATTACATATTTTGATTCTACGTAAAATTCTGAGCAGATTTCATGTGATATACCCTATACCCAAGTTCAACTGTTTTGGAATTATTGACAGTTGAAAATTGACTTTTTGCAACTTTGACAGGCTGTAAAACCTGAACGGTTAATTTAAGAGAAAAACCAATTTCACATTCCTATCTTACAGTTTCATGAACTATCATTTGACACCAACTTTGAATTTACCCGGAGATTAAATTTAATTGGAATTTTTCGAGGGGTGAACACATGAGGATTTATGGTGTACACACACAAGGATTTATGAGGATTTCCTGGGGATGTACAGGGAGATCTTTGAAAATCTTAGGATGTATGGTGATGTATAGGAATTACTTCGGATTTACCGGATTTACCGGGGATGTACCCAGGATGTAGTTCGGATTTATAGGAATTACCAGGGATGTAGCGGGGATGTATTATAGCGTTTTCCATTTGTTGTAAGGCCGAGGTCGAGGTGCACTCAGTGCAATTTTCATATTCAAACAATCATTATGAATATCATGATTTTAGTATATAAGCAACCTCTCAAAATATTGGGTATTTGCCCAACCTTGAGAGATATTGTATTTTTGATTTCTATTTATACTGCACTAGTGTGCGTTTTAGACAGCACCAGAAAAAATCTCGTGCGCAGTGAGTGCTGCACTGACACCGAAAGTTTTTGCAGCATTAGTAGCATAAAAGGATCAGAAAATGACTTGGATAATGATGAGGATAATGATATTGCCAAGGAGCATGAACTCGAGCAGGAACTTCAATCAGAAGTTAACAAATTTTTTGCAGTATACTACGATACGAGCTGGTATGTAGGGAGGGAGTATTGAAAAAATAATAAGCGAAACTGTCAGAATAAAATTTCTAAGGCAAAAGAAAAGTGAAAGTACCTTCTTTTGGCCGAAAAAGGCAGACAGTGCAGATGTCGACAAAGAATTTTTTTACAGCCCTGTATGTTTTACGCCTCCGATTCACTTTTGCGTTATGTTGCTTTTTTTTAGCATTTGTTACGGTTTTTGTACTCTACATTTTGTATATACAGAGTGGTCCATTGAAAAGTATCCACCTAGATTTACCGGTTTTTGTGAAATTTAAGAAAAAAATGCTCGGACACGTGTATTTTGTTTCGGAGGGGGAAATATTCTCTGCATATTTTTAGCCCTGTCACTTTCAACCCCTAACGGGGGTGGGCTCCAACCCCTTAATCTTTAATGGAAAGATGGGTCGAGTGATAGCTCGTTTGAAAGGGCACGAAATTAGCGTTCCAATGGTACCCTGTTTGTCGGATTTTCCTTCGACAGTTAACGCCAAAACGACGCTAAGAGCCTCACTCCTGTATTTTTGGAATCAATAAAATGAAGGACTTAAATTTCAGTTATCGCGATTCAAAAGAGCTACAATCATAATTCAAATTACTTATTTAAGTAAAAACTCATTGTTTCAACGCCAAAAAATATCCGCCCTATTTTAATACAAAAAGCCAAACACGACAAAATAGGTAAATGTTTTATCTTTTATCAGAATAAAATGCATTCATTTATTGTGTGCGTTTTTTTTTGTAAAAATAAGTAAGCAGATACACACTTGGTAGATGAAGGAAAAGAATTTAGGTTTATCCCGTTCATTGATTTAGTTTGGTTGATTTCGAGACGATCTAAATTTTACTGACAAAAATGATTCATTCCATTGCAGAACGAGTGGAAATTATCAAGCTTTATTTTCAAAATAATAGTTGTGCTAGGCTTACTGCTCGTTTATTTAATGACGCTCATCCCAACGAAAATGTCAATCATTCGTATGTGGCGAAATTAGTGCAAAAGTTTACCGATACTGGATCTGTTGCTAATGTGAAACGCCAGCCGCAACACAACAGAAATGAAGCTGTGGAAGTAGCTGTTTTGGGACATGTGGTATTGGATCATACCCAAAGTACCCGTCAACTGGCTCAAGTCTCAGGTGTCCCCCGTTCGTCCCTATTAAGGATTTTAAAAGTGCACAAATTTCATCCATACAAAACTAGATTAGCACAGGAACTTAATGAGGATGATCCTGATAGAAGGATGCAGTTTTGTGAAGAAATGAGTCAGCGTTTAATGCAAGAACCGGACTTATTATTTAACATTTGCTTCTCTGATGAGTGTACATTTTATTTAAATGGTACATTCAATAGACATAATTGCCGTTACTGGGATGATAGTAACCCACATTTATTCCGTGAGGCCCATACCCAACACCCTGAAAAAATAAACGTGTGGTGTGGCATCTTAGGAAATCATATTGTAGGACCACTTTTTATCCCTGGTAATTTAACTGGCGAAGTGTACCTAAACATGCTTGAGGATGCAATTGACCCTTTGATAACAGAAATAATAGAAGATGACCTAAATCATAATGTTGATCGGCTTCATTTCCAACAAGATGGAGCGCCTCCGCATTACGTTGCTGCTGTTAGAGATTTTTTAAATTTACGTTTCCCTGGACGGTGGATTGGAAGAAGAGGCGCAATTGAATGGCCTGCCAGGTTACCCGATTTATCGCCTTTAGACTATTTTTTTGTGGGGACACTTGAAAAATAAATGTTTTGCCACGCAACCCGATTCTATAGAAGATCTTCGCCAGCGAATAATAGCTGGGTGCAGAAGCATAACACCTGATGTGCTGCAAAATGTCCGAAACAGATTTGAACAAAATTTATATTATTGTATGGAAGTAAATGGGTCACATTATCAAAACTTGTTAAATTAACGTTATACTAAAAAAATTAACAGTTTATGTTTTTGAGAACATCGTATTCTTAAATAACTGACCATGATTGAAAGCTAATAAAGAGAATTCATCAAATAAATATTATTACTAGTTATTTTGTCTTGAAATAAGTGAAATTTAAGTCCTTTGTTTTATTGATTCCAAAAATACAGGGGTGAGGCTCTTAGCGTCGTTTTCGCATTAACTGTCGAAGTAAAATCCGACAAACAGGCTACCATTGGAAAGCTAATTTCGTGCCCTTTCAATCGAGCTATCACTCGACCCATCGTTCCATTAAAGATTAAGGGGTTGGAGCCCACCCCCGTTAGGGTTTGAAGGTTACAGGGCTAAAAATATGCAGAGAATATTTCCCCCTCCGAAACAAAATACACGTGTCCGAGCATTTTTTTCTTAAATTTCACAAAAACCGGTAAATCTAGGTGGATACTTTTCAATGGACCACTCTGTACATAGATGGCGTATTAGACGTTTATGGAGAACTAAAAAGCGGATCATTTTGAAAATTTGGCAACCAGGATAAATGACCATAACCTACACTTTCAAAATATTTTTGTTTATGCGGTGCTGCCGCTTCTACTCTAAACCAGTGGCAACATCGCTATTTTAAATGGAACACCCTGTATGTGATTGCATATTTGGATTCTACGTAAAATTCTGAGCAGATTTCATGTAATATACCCTACTATAAGTTAAACTGCTTTAGAAATGTTGACAGTTGAAAATTGACTTTTTGCAACTTTGACAGACTGTAAAACCTAAACGGTTAGTTTTAGAGGAAAACCGATTTTACATTCCTGTCTTAGATTTTCATATACTATCATTTGACACCAACTGTGAATTTAATCCACGAATAGAAATTCCATTTAAATTTAATCTCCGGTTAAATTCAAAGTTGGTGTCAAATGATAGTTTATGAAAATCTAAGATACGAATCTAAAATCGGTTTTCCTCTAAAATTAACCGTTAACAGCCTGTCAAAGTTGCAAAAAGTCAATTTCAAACTGTCAATATTTCCAAAACAGTTGATTTTAGGTATAGGGTATATCCTCGGGTATATCACATGAAATCTGCTCAGAATTTTCCATAGAATCCAAATATGCAATCACATACAGGATGTTCCATTTAAAATAGCGATGTTGCCACTGGTTTTAGAGTAGAAGCGGCAACACCGCATAAACAAAAATATTTTTGAAGTGTACGTTATGGTCGTTTATCCTGGTTGACAAATTTTTGAAATGATCTGTTTTTTAGTTCTCCATAAACGTCTAATACGCCATCCACCGTGGAACACCCTGTATTGTGTAGAAATGTGAATAAAATAACATATAAGACCTAACACCAATAAAGAATTTATGTCATTTCAGTTTATAATTTGACAATAATCAACCTAATTTCAGGTTTTTTACAGATATAATTAACCTGGGGATGTTATTTTTTCATAACGCCCTAGAGCATTATAAACAATTAAAAAGCCACTTGTATACCGGTTTCACACCGGTTAAATTAGGCATTCCAACGACCTGTCAAAAATTGCGTTGTGGGCGGAAGTTCATTATCCCGTATATGGGAGTATGGAATTTAAAGCTTTTTAAAGTGCATATTGTGGTTGTTTTGTGAATGAACTCTGTTTATTTTTTTTTATTGACTTCATTAGTATTTCTTCTAATTAAAAATGCCACAAACGTGTCTTGTAGTTGATTGCGGAAGTAGTTTCAACAAGGTAACAAGGATGATGTCAGGCTTTTTTTATTGCCCTCTGTTTCAAAATTTTCTAATTAAAACGTGAAAATTTTTCACAACCACTGTTCCT